GACAGAGCGCGTAGAGACGAGCAGAGTGCAGAAGTGTACTCGACCCGACAATAGCAGTCTGGTCTAACTCCAGCGCCAAACGACACATCTCGACGCATCGGTCCAGGCGAGGCGAGACGAGACGAGACGAGGCGAGGCGAGGCCAGCTTCGTGCTTGGCTTCAGCTGCCTATCAGAACACTTGCAGAAAGTCAATGCAGCTGAGAACCGCGAGGCTATTGTTCGTGATCCTGAATTTGGCATCACTTGATGCGGAGCAGAAGTACTCTTTGGGGGCGAGAGGTCAACGGTTTTATGGGTCTACAAGCAAACGCAAACCCCCCTCGTGGCTCCGCAGCTGTGGCCACACGACACAACAGGCAAGTGGAGAGAAAGGCACACTCGAAAGGTGGGATTCACACATTTCCGACGGTCGTCGGCTCCACCGGCTGTACCTTTCAACCGCAGAAGCTCAAGCCTGCGAACTTGACGAGCGGAGTCGGGCCTGAAATGTCCTTTCCGGTCGAGGCACGCACGTGCAAATGACGCTGTGCCGATCGGCTGGGACCCAGCAACCGACGTTGTCGTTGCGACAAAGAAGAGGAAATAAAGCAAGAAGTGCACACAAGCAAAGGTTCAACGAGCAAATCAACGACACCAAAGAAGATCAGGCCAACACAAACGACAACTACCAAACATCCAGCACACCAAGCAGCCTGAAAACCATTCGTTCATCCATCAATCTAGCAAGAAAACTAGCGAGACTTTCAGAAAGCTACCAATTCGTGCAACCATCCATCCATCTAACAATCTAGGCTGGCATAAACCAACCAACCATCCATCCATCCAACCAACTAGTCGGACAACCAGACAACTTTCTAGCAAGCCTAACAACAATTCTGAAGACCATCTATCCATCCATTCATCTAGACAGCTAACCATTCGTCCGACCATCCATCCATTCATCCATCAATTTTGAAGACCATCTATCTATTCATCCATCTGGACGGCTAACCATTCGTGCAACCATCCATCCATTCATCCATCAATCTAGGCTGTCATAAACCAACCAACCATCCATCCAACCAACTAGTCGGACAATCAGACAACTTTCTAGCAAGCCTAACAACAATTCTGAAGACCATCTATCCATCCATCCATCTAGCCAGCTATCAATTCGTACAATCATCCATCCATCAATCCAACAATCTAGACAGTGAGCTTACGAAACGTCCAGCCAACTTTCCATTCATCCAAGTCCCTATTAATCTAAGCAACCATAAATCCAACCAGCCAATCCACCAAACATCCAACCAAACAGACAGCTAGCCAGCCTACTAACCAGCCTGACAGCATCTATCAATCTATCCATCCATCCTTCTAGCCAGCCACCCTCTTTTCGTGAAACCACTGCTCTTCTCTTTCTAGAATTTGAAATACATTTTTCAAACTTGCAGACAAAAGATGACACATAAGAAATCAGGAATATTAGCTAGATTAGCACTTAATAATGTCGACAACGAAGCCTTAAAATTAATTATCCAATAACATATACGAATGTAAATACAAAGATATATAAATATTTGGATGGCTAAATTAATCAACAAATAAGAAATATTATATCAATAGAGTGAAAATTGAGAATAACAAAGTACAAAATTAAATTTAAAAGCTAAATAGGAGTAGAATTCTAAGCTTACAAGAAGAAATGCACACAATTTAACTCGTCCACTGACGCATAAATTAATGAGATATGAAGACCAAGATGTTGTGGCCTCTATTTCGTTAATAGCCTCCTATTTTTGTATGGAAGTGGGCTGAGGAATTTGCGAAGACGAGGTCAGCCCACTTCTTTACATTAAGATGTTGGCACAGCCTGAGGTTCTGAAATAACCTTAAAGTCGCGACAATCAAATTAGTGCCACATTCAGAACGTGAAACATCATTCTGAAATATTCGTCGATCCTAGTCCAGCACTTATCCACTCTTCAGCCCCATATCAAACGTCAAGACCCTTGCACCCAAATCCTGAAGCGAAGCCTAACCGTAACCCTGAGCACAAAACCATCTATGAACCCTGTCAACAGCGTAAGGTTGAACGAAAGCGGAAGTCTAAGTTGAGGCCGTAAGAAGAAAAAGAGGCTTGAGGCTTGCAGACAAAAGGAAACTATATGAGATGCATTCACCCTATTTCGTTTGAGGTGGTGAAGGACTGGTAGAAGAATAATTTTCCCACAATCATATGAATACATCTCATATTTCTGATTTACTGGTAGTCTCGAAACTCTACTCAAATACGAAAAATAATTAACGTAGTCGATTGTTATAGCAAACATACGTTTGCTTCATCAACACTCCCACAAAAGAAAATGATATT